AAAAAAAAAAAAACATTGCACAAGTAGTTACCTTACTTCTATGATTGAGTTACTACAGAGGTTGCTCTAACATCCCAAAAGGTTTAAGCGTGGAACTCATTTTAGTTTTGAAATTATGAGCGTTCAAAGTCGGCCAATTTGCATAAATGAATTTTCGCGCAATATGCAAATTAAGCTCAAGTATTTACTGAAATTTTCTTAAAAAAATATCATTTTCAAGCGAAAAAAAAAATTAATTGCACCGTCCAATGCATTTTTTTAAGATTACAGGTACTTTCAACATTTTTTAGAGACTTGCATTTTGTTACGCATATTACACGGAAATAAAACAAGTAAATTCAGAATGCATATTTTCGCTCTTTTATGATTTTTATTTGTATTTTGTGAAAAAATGGCTTTATATAACAGGACTGTCTCATTAAAGCTCCAAAAGACAAAATATAAATATTTCATTTTCTTTATCTTAAATTCAACGTAAATAACAACCATGATTATAGAAAATGACAATAAAACAACTTTAACTGACAATTAATATGATATTGATACAAGTTTCTTTTTTAGTTTTATGAAGGTTTATCAACAACACTGATCATTTTTAATCTGCTAGCTACAGCTTGTTAGGTGAACTTTTTTATGAAAAATCCATTATGAAGCGAAATGTACTACAAATCTAAATTCAAAGACTCGTTGATGTAGGATTGAAATTGATCAAGATATGAATTTTTTTTCAACTATTGATTTTTTTGCAATTTTACCGTTTTATCATATAAATTGAAGATGTAGAAGCTGAAAATAATCTTGATGATTTATTAGACATACATCATTTAAAGCACAAGTAACATCAATGTTGTTTTTGACCATAAATTAAACGTTACACGATGAAGCCTTTTTTGGACCTTGAAAACCTTTCCCATGAACAAATTCATACAAGAACAGTTATTTAGCAGAACAGACCCCGTCAACTCCCCCTGAAAGTGTTTGTCTTTACACTTAGGTCCAGATGAGTAAGCCACCTCTTGCATCTGGGTTTGTCTTTAGTGAATTTCGCGTTGCTACAGTTGACTCGACTAGCTTGTGCTTGTTTTATAACTTAAGGTTAATAGTTTGAGGAGGGGGTCCGATGTTATTTCTAGTATAGCAGAGTAAGAGCTATTGTCTTATGCTTTGGAGGTGGGGGGGATAGGTTCTGACTAATCTTCTGCTTGAGAAATCTGGTTTTACGCCCTCCTGGTAATTATTGCACAGTCCCTAAGTAAACTTATTTCATGCTTCAAGTGCATTTTCTCTCCTATTTTAAAACTAACTTAAAGTTTGTTTTTGACAACTGCAATTTGAAACAAGCTGATTCAGTTTGTCCACAAAAGACTTCTACTCTTTATCTGTTGGGCGGTCTTCAATTCTTCTGGTCTAAAATGAAGGTACCCAACAAGGTGATCTCTCTTTACTTTCATTTCCTTAGATACTGTTAAGGGCTCGTCTTTGTTACCACTTCGAACTATTCAATAAGGAATGCTTTTACTTTAGCTTCAAATTTCTGTCTGTAGGTGATAGATTGTCTGTGCGAGTGGTTGGAAGAAAAGGGAAAGAAAAGGAAAGGAAAGAGGGAAAAAAGTGACTAAAAAATAATTCAATGTATAAAAAATTAAATGGACAAAAGAAGATATAAAGTAAAAATATCACTATATAGGGAAGAGTAGAGGAGTGAAGAAAGGGCAAAGCAGGAATGGAGTAGATGGTATGTTGATAAATGGGGAAAAAAACGGAAAACACGATAAACGAGAATAACAAAAATAGATGTGGATAATGGAGGGGAGAGTAGAGAAAGAAAGAAGGGCTGYGCGGGTATTGAGCTCAATGGAGGACGCGGGATAGGAAGGAGAGAAAAGCCAAAATGGGAAAGAGGGAGGCTCGTTGCACTGTCTGTCGAACCCCCGAACCGGAGTCACTCATGGTTGAATTTAAATGCTCTGAAGTGTTGATCAAATATTTATGGCTTTTTATTACGAAACCTGTCGTACTCAATCATAGAAGTAAGGTAACTACTTGTGCAATGTTTTTTTGTTTTTTTTTGCAATCAATGAACTTCCAGTATTTATAAAGTAAAGCAGTCTTTCAAATCCTATTAAAATTTCATTTTAATAACGCTTTACTTTATTCAAATTTGTAATACTTTTACTTATATATGTACTTCTGGAAATAGGAAAATAAACTGAAAGTGTTTTGGGAGTAATAAAAGTTAAAAGAAGCAGTTGCGTGACAATAGTAAGTACGTGATACGTGCGGTACGTGATGTAGTTACGTATTGTCTGATTGTTGTCAACATTTCTTGCATCACACTGCCTTGCCTAAAAACCTCAAAGAGGTGTTAGCTATCCATATCGATTCTAGAATATTCTCTTTTAGATTTATGATGTTTCTGCGCTAAAATATAGCTTTAGACTCCATTTCCTTTACAATATTAACAGCTAATTTGCATATTGTGCGAAAATTCATTTAAGCAAATTGGCCGACTTTGAATGCTCATAATTTCAAAACTAAAATGAGTTCCACGCTTAAACCTTTTGGAATGTTAGAGCAACCTCTGTAGTAGTCGGATATGGAAAAATATCGTAAATAAACTGCCGCACTTTTGAGAAAAAGACTTTTAATTTTGCCTATCATCGCGATTGATCATAAWTTACTGCGTCACGCAATAAGTAAACAATTCACCAGGGGAAAGAACTTTCTCAAATTGATTGGTTTTCTCGTTGGATAATCGCTTCAAAGATGAAAAAATATGTGGCAAGTTGAATTAATATTGTCCCTTTAATGGTTTTTCTTTTACAGTCCTTCAAAGTACACACAAATATCAAGGGATTTTTGGCATTTTTGGGCCAAAATTGAGGGGGGGTGGTGATCTCGGTAACCAAAAGTCCGTTGAAGCTCATATTCGGCCATTCTTATTTTTATCCGAAGGCGATTAACTGGTATAAGTTTCAGTTCAATCGGCTGACCCCCATCTTTTGACCCTGCCCGGTTTTCTCGGACAATGACTCTTAATTTCTCTCAGATGAACGCTGATTTCCTTTTTTTCAAAATGATTCCCATTCAGACCATTTTCCATTTTGCTCATCTATATAATAGTTTCTATTCAATCTACATTCCTGAAACCTAAAATCGGGATGGCTAGGCACCCTAATCAAYCCCCCAGGATTCGCACTTGGAACTGGTCGAGAAACACAGCCACGATGATTTCCAATTCCTTTTCTCGYCTTTTACCGACAATAAACGTGTAATATCTATAATATATATCTATAATATATCAATACCTCTGTTCTCGTTTCAGTGCTATGGAATGATCTCTGTTTTCTGCTCTCCACATTTCCAGTTCTTTGTGCATGCTATCTACATCTTCTTGAATATAGTCCATAATTTTACCAAGCGGGTTTGCACTCCTTGTTAGTGTCTGTATGCTTCCTCGGAGCTTTTCAATCTKAACAGTTACAGTAGAATTAGATTGACAGTAGTTTTAGACTGAACTGACTGTAGTGTATAATCAGAAACCTTACTTCTTTTTTAGCCAGTTCTCTTTCTTTCTGCCTAGCTGCATCATTGATTAAAGATTTCTCCTACAAAAAAAGGAAATAAATAAGATATCAATTATTTTATATACATATACCTCATCAATTTGCTCTKGCAAGGAATGGTACKTTGTGCAYAGGAAGCMCRCACAACTTATAAAGAGTCTCGTAATGAATGCAGGGCAGAAAATAACACCAGATGAGCCWGCAGACACTGTGTCACAGACATATGACCAGTCAACTGGAATTTTGATTGTTCATGTCATTGATAGTCTCCTCGCAGCCGTGTTTAGTTTCGGTCACGCGTCACGCAACCTCTCTCTGTGTGGAGAGGTTGCGTGACACRTGACCGAAACTAAACACGGCTGCGAGGAGACTATGTCATTGACAGCRGAGCAGCAAATATTTTTTGTCATATGATAAGAAGCTAATCATCAATGTTCTATAATATCCTACTTGAGATGTTTTAGTGGTCTGTTCTTTGCTTCCTTCTAGTTCTTTCTTTGTCTCAAGGATTGTTCTGACCAGCCCACCTTTAAAACAACAGACAAACAAATATCAGATGGTCAGACAGACAGACGGATGGATGTACAGACATGTGTACATACCATGACTAGATTCATCCTCTATAGATTCATTACTTGGTACCTATAGAAACAATATTGATTGCAGTCAATGTCAGTATTACATCACTGTACAAAATGTATCTATGTTCTATGTATCTAATTTCTAAAATAGCATCTAGTGTGACATGCAGTAAAAAATTGAAATGTTACATGTAATAAACTAAAACAGTTTATCACTAAGTCATGAGTCCCACACTTCATGTACAATGTAGGATCTAGACCTATCAGACAAACAGGCTGAAAGACATGTGTCACTCACTGAATCAACATCATTGATGATAGGGTGGTTGTCTTCAACAACAAACGTTTCATCATCATCATCATCTTTACCATCATCTACGATCACACTAGTCACTTGCTTTCCTGATCCAATTCTGAATAAAAAAAACACAAAATTTCTTTAGCTTTTGTAGTTTGATTAATCCAGCAAAGACATTCATGGCTTTCCACATCAAACAAAGAAGAAATCATTGAACAGAAGTATCAAAAAACACCTTCAGTACACTGACAACTTGGTTCAATGTTTTACTGTAATGTTCATGGTCAATGAACATGAGAATAGGCATTGTGAAGAGATGTTGTGAGTATACTGTACAACAATATATGTACCTGGCATTCTGTTCTTCTAATTCTTCTTGTTGTTTTTTAATCTTTGGTGGTGCTGGTCTTGCACTGCTTGGTCTTGCCATTCTACGGCTGTATAAAATAGTGTATTAGACATACATTTGTATTTCTGTACCACACAATAGTTGAATTCAAGCGATCATTATCACGTTTTTATTGATCCTGACCTTTGCACCACTTGCTGTGGTAGTTCATCTTCATGTAAAACACCATTAATTTGTTCTTTGGATGGTGGGGCAGAATCTGTTCCTGCAATTATTACATAATCAATATCAGACTGCATCACAATGATTAGTAATTATAGACAATGATAAGCACAATGATCAGCATCTTACCATCATCACCACCTTCATTGGAATCTACAAAAACAACATGGAGTTGTGTTAATGTCAACGATCAAATAAAACTACCAACTGCTAAGATGAATCTTGTCATATTCTAACTGTTAATTGAAGTATAAAGTTAAGTTTAAAGGCCCAGTGTACACCATTATGCTTTGTGGGCTGCGAGGGCCAGGAGGCGGCCATTTTCAGTTTACGGAAAGTCTATAAATTGTACAGTCTGTTTCAAGTCTTTGAGCATCTCACTCTTCTAAGCACTTTAAACGCTAATATGAGAGTTTTCAACCATCTGAATTTTGTTTTATGGTGGTATTTGGATACTAGAAGTCTTTTGGTGTAAATWATAACAATAACAGAGACGTGCAAAGCAGAATGGTKCAAAYTGGGCCTTTAAATYAAGTTACTATATTATGTRCATTGTACTACTCACTTACCATCACCATCTCCATGTCTTCTTCTTTGTCCTTTAGCAGATGACGGTCTTGGGATACGGTTCTGCTGAGAGTCACCATCCTAAAATTAAGAAGATAGAGTTCTATATTGACATACCATACTAAAAAAATCTTAATGTCCTTTCCACATACAATGCTTTTGCAATACAAGTTATTTGAACAATATTTTCTTGTTTACCTCTATATTTCCATCAATTAATCCAGAGTCTACTCCATCCRTATCATTATCTTTATTTACAGTCTATAAATATTAAGATATATTAAATCATTAATTAATCTTTGTCAAAGAMGTCAATTGATAAGATTTATCATATACCATTTCTTGTGGTGTCTCTTTTTCTTTTTCCTTTTCTTTTTCCCTTTCCCTTTCAATTTTTCTTTCCCTGTCTCGGCTTCTTTCCTTTTTAGATGAATTTTCCCTTTTTGTAGAGTCCTCTTTTTCTTCTCTTCGTTTTCTYTCCTCTCCACTTCCCTGTCTGCTTTCTTTTCTCTTGTTTTCCTAAGAAACAAATGAGGAAATAACACACTGAATGACAAACAGCAATATATATAATAGTTATGGAGTCAGATATGATCTTTATGAATCCATGATGGAAACTTCTCTTTTAACTAACAGTAACATAATCATGTGTGTGCAGAGTCTATTAGACACAATAGAACTCAGTTTCCAAATTTGAAGATAAAATCTTGATCATCCCAAGATGAACTATCATAGTGCTAATGAACTTCAGAAAGAAAATATACTTTTTATTGATACAAAAAGGTATAATCACTGTTMCAAATACCTTGTTAGAGCTCCCTGAATCAGAYTTTTTCTCWGCATCCTTTTCTTTTGATATTTCTCTGTCCCTACTCTTTGACCGTTCTTTTTTACTTTTACTATCCCTGTAATAAAATGAATTCAAAACAATTACCTATAAATAAATATTCTTCTGTCTCAGTTTTTGGATAAAAATTCAGATATTTTAGAATTATAACTTGTTAAAGGATGGGTGTCAAGTAAAATGTAAAAATATTTAATACATACCCTGAACTTTTACCAGGTTTTCCTCCACTTAAAACTGTTTTTACTGCATCTGAACTGTTTTTCTGAATAAAAGACACATATGGTAATAATGTATAAACTAGACTAAACTTCCAGATACAAGGGGTATACAGTGGGCATGGGAAGGGCCAGCTGACAACTGGCATTTGAATTTCATTAACAAACAMAAGATGCCTACCTTAGCAAGAGCAGCTTTTCCAAGTTCTTGTAGAAACTCATTGGTTCTCTCAGGTTCATGACCTGCTACAACCTTGTTAGGTCTCACTGATAAGGTTACACCATTAAGAATTGCTGCAAAAAGTATAAAAGAAAAAATGTTAAATTCTACGCCTGTAGTCTTAAGGGATAACAAGTGCAACTTCAACAACAAACGTTAATCAACATTTGTAATTATAATTTTTCTGAATAATAATAATTTTAATCAATTGTGTTCATTAGAAAGCAGAACCTATTTTCCAAATTGCTGTTTTTAGAAAAGTCTGCTATTTAGGATTAAAAATGGCATGCATGTAACATAAGCTTAAGATACTGTAAAAACAGTATGAAAATAGAGTCATTGATCAAACACATTTTCATGCAATGCTCATTTATTTCTTTTATTACAGTGTTCAACACGCAATGTGTTTCGTTGTTATGATAGGTGTTGTAAAGAAATCCCTTGCAGTTAATAGTGGTCTTTGAATARATATAACAATAAAATCATATCAGCAATTATTTTTCAATATGGCACATTGTAATTTCATTGTAACCAAAAATCTACTAATTTCACTTCAAAAAATTTATTCAGCAAAACAGCCCTGTCAAACTCAAGCAACCACTTTTTCCATGACGGCAAACAAGACGATCTCGAATTAATGAAATTGTAAAATGCAGAATTCAGAGTAAACTGGGATTTTAAAGTTATCGTATGTAGATAATCTCAAGTCACTTTGTTTTCAATATTTTGCAAACAAAAGCAATCACGTGAATTTATATATCATAAAAACCTGGTTAACATTTCACCAGAAAATATCATCAAGGCCGTTTTTGTGATCAAAATATATTGTCTCTGTATGGTCCAGTGCTAAAAATGGCTGGCAACCCACCTTAGCAACCAAAACAACTAGAATTCGGACAACAATTTTGTTCAACTTACCCACGACATCGATTGCTTTTTGTAAAAAAGCTACTTTAGCATCTTTTTCCTGTGGATTAAATTACAAATTAAGCTAGGATTGACAAACAATCTAAAAAACTCTGGTCAAATAAGTCATGACTTTGTCAAACCTTCACGTTCGCTGAGTTCATTTCGTCCGCGGTGTAGAGACCTTTTAGAACCCCTGTATTTCGTATAACCTAAACAATTAGATAATAATATTCAGATATATGTGTTTTGTATAATCTTTACTCACTCGTAATTAAGCTTACCTCGGTAATAATGTCATGTAAGAATCGAAATGGAGGTTTGCTTAAAAGTTTATCCGTCAATGGCGGCTTCTTTATCGCTTTTCCCAAAGTGTCTTGAGTTTTCTTTGCTACTGATGGGTCCATTATTAAGTTTATTTCCTACAGCTCACTATACTCAAGATTGATGTCTTTGAATCCCTAGAAAAGTTGTGTTTGRCGATTCCGAAAAAGTTCACTTTACCGCCATCTTTCTCGATTTCACCACAATATAGTCCATAATATTTGAGCATAATTTGATTGGGCAAAACATATGAAGAATGACAAATGTGATTGGCTAATCCTGATAACTTTTGAAATGCTAGGAAAAAATCAGAAATCATGGAAATTAAATCTTAGACAATTGCTTTCACAAAATTGCTGTATTGGAATCTTAATATTAAYAAATGAAACTTTTTAGACTTGTGGTAACCGTGAAAATCTCATCAGATTGGACTTCGCAACAAAAATTWAAACATACATTTTTAGATTCAATTTTTTAACATGTGCAATTAACGTTGAACAGGACTTTTTCTATTCTTTTTTTCTATTCTTTTTTCTGACTGAAATTCAAGATCCAGTACGTACAATAAAATAATATTCACATTGCGCGGTCTTCCTGTGGATCACCTGCGCAGCCTCGTTTTGACAGAACCCTTTGTAGCCACGCTATTTCAACGCACAGAACAAGATCAGAAATGGCGGTACAATTTTCAGTTTGTTTGGGGTAACAAACTAAGATACTAAAAATTACTCCCTCCGCCTTCACGTTATTATCATTTAGGGGTTCATTCACCAGCTTGAATRACATTCCTTTCCTTTTGAAAGCTCAATTTGTTTCTTGGACATGGATTTTACAGACATTCGCGAAGGTAAGGTTCCCGTTCATGACCGAGAAGTGCTCAAAAGAAAATTCGAATTGCCGGTTGAGTCACCACTTAGATCATTGACTTATTCTGACTTACAGTGACTTCACTAAACCAGTTTTATCTCTAAATGTTATTGTTATTAAGTAATACAACTTGCGTTAACTTGAAATGAGKTTTTCGTTCAACTCTGCGATGATGTGATTGTACCATAATTTTGAGCACATGTTTTGATCRTTTGACKGATCATACAAGCTTAAWTACTTTAATGTTTTTATCACGTTTTAGATGAGCTAGTTTCAAGCCTYGGTGTGGATTTTGGTAAGTATGATCGTCATCAAATGCAGTAATATTTAAATTTCGATCATTATTGAATTCTGGAATTTCAGATTTAAGCACTTTCATATTAGCAAGTCATTCAGAGTTTCTATCAAAACATTCTAATAAAAAAAACAAAATGATTTTCAAGACCAATGAAACCAAGGCTACAGTGATTTTCATCAATTTGTATTCTTCTTTTATCAAACGAAATTTGAATAGTAACAGTCCCTGTGTTTTTTTCACAGAACATGGTCGAAGGCACATGGGACCTAGACCTGGTTTTCGCCCTGGATTTGGTCCTCGACCACACCATGGACCCATGGGACCAGGACACCCTCATGACTTTCCTATGCGTGGACCAAGAGGTCCAGAACCCTTTTATGGGCCCCCTTTAGGAGGTCCAAGAGGACCRAATCAAGGTCCCATGATGAGAGGAGGACCAATGTTGGGAATGAGAGGTCCCCATCCACAGCATGGAATGCATAGACCAAGAATGCCTGGGCATGGTGGAAGGCCTGACTCRCAAAGAGGTGGRAGAAAGAGACCATTTCCTGGACAACAAGGTCAAAAGACAACAMCAGATAAACAAAAGAAGAATGTCAAAACAACTACTCYTAACGACAAAAAGGAACAGCCATCTTCAGATAATGCGTATGTTGCAAGATACATTTACATTAAATTTTTGATTAGGTCAATGTATCAGAGCTGTATATCCCTGTGCTTTGTAAAATAACTACAATATAACATTGTTGACATGGAAAGTTTTAAAATCTTTAAGGGGTTTGGTTATAAAAAGGGAATAATTTTCACCAACTTCCCTGTTTGACCCTTCTGGCTTTCTGCCAAAACATTGTCTGATAAGATCAGCCAATAACCTATAATGGCACGCACAATGTGTTGGTGCCTGTGTTATGTTCTCTATAAGATCATATATCTTTACACATCAAAGCCATTAACCCACCTTTCCTAATTCAAAGTTGGTAGTCCTCAATTTAAAAGATGTAGGTAATCACCCAACAGAGGCAAGAGTGAATCGGGGGAAGGGAAGATTAAAAAGATGAGGGAAGAGAGTCCTTTAAATATGCAATTTTGGTCCATTCACAACAATGTTTTTTATACCTGATCGTATGTTTGGAAGCTAGTAAATTGTTCTGACAATTTGTTGTGTAATCTCAATATTAACATGGCTTTTAGCACTGCATGTATTCTTAGTAAAGTATAATGAATGTTTTTATATATTCAGTCAAAACAAGACTGAAGGTGATACTTCAAAGGTAATAATTTGTATTCATGATATATTTGATTAATGCTCTTCAAATGAGTGTCTGAACCTTATACCTTGTCTAAAATTAGATTTTTACTATGAAACATTCACAATAGTTGGGCATGTTGATTGTTTGTAACAAGCATTTCATGTGCTATTGTCTGGCACTTTAGATAAAGCAATCTTATCTATAGATGCTGACATAATGAGCAATTTAAATGTGTACTGAGTTATTTGAAGACCTGTTTGATTGATCATTTATTGATTCTGGGTGTTCACTTTGCTTTGTTGTTGTCCTCAATTTCAGCCAAAAGACTCAGAACATCCAGAAAGTGACACTGATGTGGTAAGATCTGCCATACCTTGTATTTTTTAATATTATTTATGTAACTCATCAAGCTTTATACATTATCACAATCATTTCTTAAAGCAGGCATTATAGTCAACTAGATGTAATCTGTGTTATTCATATTCTTCAGGATAAACTATTGAAAAGTGACGATGAAGGAGAAGGGTGAGTCAAATCAAGGAGGTTAAAATGKATTATGGGAACCAATTGTTTGCAGAGCACTATAATAACCAAACATGTCTATGCATTCACACACTAAATGTTGTAGTACACAAGAATCCACATTAGTTTTTTTTAAGGAAAGCTTATAGGGAAATTAAGTAGAGATATAACCTAAAGAAATGCACCACGGCAGTGATAAACCAGTACTCAAGTAATTTTCTGCTTAATATTTTGTTTATAGGGAAGCACAGGCTGACCTTGATGCTGTCAGTATCCATGGTGATGAAGATATTGATGAAATTGACAAAGAAATAAAAACAACAACAACTTCAGAGAAAGATAAAACCAGTACATGTAAGCTTYAMTTTCACATACTGCAAACTTGACAAATTTGTTTCCATCTTTGATTTGATGTTCAGACGAGATGATGGAAAAGATTGATCGGTCAAAGCATCTTTAAACTTAAAAAAAAAATTGTCAGCATACAGATTTGATTGATCAAACTGAAATTTTGAGTTGACACTGTGCCTTGACTGGCTTTTATTTTTTGACCTATTATTGATTTATTTATGTATTTTAAAGCTGAATCAACAACCAAAGCAGGTGAAAATACTGGACAGAAATCCAAACGTGAAAGATTCCCTAGTGAAAGACCACGCGAGGGAAGAAAGCCAGACCAAGGTAATCTACTATGTTATATTCTCTTTCAATTTTAAGTTAATAATATTTAGCACTTGGAAAAACGCAAGAACTAAGTGTTCATGTATAGCAAGATCAAAGTGATTTTCTTGACTTGTTCTTCTAATGTATGAAATTCAGGCAAACAAGGCTTTGACAGGAAAAACGATAACAGAAACAGAAGAGATTTTGGTAGAGGCAGGGGACGTGGTAGAGGTGGCTTTGATCATCCCCCACGGTATGACTCCATGCATAGAATTAATATATAGTTAAATACCAAGTTATTGTATGATGGCTAATTAAATATAATTATTATAAAAGTGATTTATATTTTTTACTGTAATTTTTACTGCATAGTTTTGATGGACCRCCACCCATGCGCATGGAACCCCCAATGCAAGGTGGACCTATGATGCGTCCTGGTATGCATGGACCAATGTTTAATCCTAACATGCCACCAAGAATGCATCCTCCTGGTGACATGCACCCTGGGCCTGCACCATTCCCAGCAGGACCAATGCCTGGGCCCCCTGGACAAATGAGTAAGCAAATTCCAATGAGTGGTTTACTTGTTTTTTTTCTTTTTGTGTCATATATTTGATTTCTTCAAATTATTTCTATAGTTTGTTTGTTAGTAATTATGCCTTTCATTGCTGCTTATAATCTATGTGATGTATATTTGTAATAGTAAATTGTGATATTAACCTGCTTGTTTTGTATTTTATTTGAAGGGCCTCCTGGTAAAAACATCCACATTAATCCTCATTTTAAACCTGGTAGAGGAATGCCTGAAGGTATTTGGAGTCTTGTTGYTTATATATCTTCTTAGATAATGAACTTCTTCTGACTGTGTACATTGTTACCTAGTATATATTATAAAGCAGTCACAAATTTAAGGGCTCTCAAAGGTAACTAAGTAGAAGTTGGATGCCAAAGAGTGGGCAATGAATAGTGTGTAGAAAAATTGGGCCTTTTTATTATGGGTGCCCAATTAAGGTTAATAGGTGACTTATTGAATTCTGGCCAAATATTTTTCTTAATTGATTGCACTTTTTAGGCCCATCTATGGGGCGTCCTGGTCCACCAATGCATGGCCCTGGGCCAGGTCCCAGAATGATGCACCCTCATCCAAGTCATGGCCCTGAACCATTACCRGCTGGACCCATACATGGGCCACCCCATGGTGATATGGGACCTCCAAGGGGAATGGCACCAAGGATGGAGCCACCTAGAGGAATGGATTCCGATCAAAGGTCTATGCATGATATGGGCAATAGACCAAGAGAACATCATGGACCTCAAAATGGCCCTCCTCCTAGAGTAAGTATTACATCAAGTCACATGTTTTAGCAACTGCCCAATGCCAATGGGATTGACTGTATAGAGAATGGAAATGCTTAAAATATCAAAATATACTTTCTTTTTCAGGGCATGCCAATGGATGGACCAAGAGGCCCTCAAGGTCCTCAATTTAGAGCACCACATCCAGGAGGMCTAAATATGGGTGGTCCTCAACCTCATGGGGGTATGCCTGGAGCACACTTAAGAGGACCTGGACAAGGATCACGGCCTATGACACCTCAAACACATCCCCATCCAAGTATGACTGGAATGCGACCACCTCATTCCTCTGCTAACATGCCTCCACACATGGGGCCAACGCCTGGTATGACACCACTTGGAGCAGACACCCAAGCAATGATGGAGTCTAATAGAATCGTTGTYGGTGAYAGAGTGATTGTTCCCAATATGGACCAGTCMATGCATGGACATATGTTTGGTGGTCAGCCTAATGCTTCTTCWGGTGGTAACATTGGTGCAGCGGCTGCAGCGGCAGCTGCCGTTGCTGCTGCAACACGACAGTATCCTGGATTCTCTCCATTTGACTACTCTATGTTTAACCCTAATTGGCAGTTATTTCAACAAAGGGATCCTTATGCYACKGCTGCAGCATCTGCTTTTAATATGGAGACAGAGAGGCCAAGAACGGAYGCAGCAGTAAGTCTAGATTTGTTTACYAGATTATGTTCATGAAGCATGCTAACTTGACACACTTATAGTATTGGTAGATCCTCCAAACAACATGGTTTTCAATTTCTGGAGATGTTGCTATTCCAACTAGTTCATGTTGTCATAGTATGCAGATTCTAGTATCTTCTAGTATTACATTGTAAGTGATATTCAGAATGTTTATTTACAGCATCGCAGTCGTAAAGGCAAGCGTCACCGTTATACCGATGAAGAAAGCATTGGAAGTGACCTTAGTAGTAGGTCAAGGTCATACTCACGCTCACCATCAAGATCGTATTCCAGATCACCAGCCAGATCATGGTCCAGATCAAGATCGCCATCTTTATCGCCTTCAAGGTACCTTAAATATGACATAAACAATATCAGTTGGTTTTAATAACGTAGTAATGAAGAATTGGGGATGTCAAAGCATAATGCATTTTTTGGGGGAAAGATGACAAATATCAAAAGATTTGGTCTAAAATGGAAATTTTAAATAATGTGTCAAAAATAGCAGCCAAATTATTAGTCTGAGAAGTCTTGAGAAAGACTTTTATAATTACCTTCTAAACTTGCATCCAATGCCTTCAATTTTACAACAGTGTTAGGTCTTCTAGATCAAGGTCATTCTCCAAGTCATTGTCAAGATCTCCACCACGATATTCAAGACTTGGAAGATCTCGGCAGGACAAAGAGGACAGAAAGGATAGAGGAAGAGGATTTGACAGAACTAGAGGTCGCCCAGTAAGAGACCATGAAAGAGATACACGCCCAAGAGATGTAAGGCCAAGAGAAAGAGGGTCTCGGTTAGAAAGAGACAAACCCAGAGAAAATCGAAATAGTCAGCATGACAGAGAACAAAGAGAAAAGGAACGGGAGAGGGAAAGAGAACGAGAAAGAGAAAGGGATAAGCAGAGAGATCACAGACGTGAAAGAGAAAGAGACAGCGAAAAGAACAGTAAGAACAGAGAAAGRGAACGTGAGAGAGGAAGAGAAGATAGAGATCAAGATCGACCCAGAAGAAGTCGTGGTGAATCCAAACACTCAGAATCTGGCTCATCCAAGGTATATATTGATGGGCTCACATACAGTATTTCAGTATCAAGTGTTACAATATTTTTTTTGTCTAGTACAAAATATAACCATAAACCACCTAATTCATTAACTGAAGGGAAGCAATGATGGCCGAGCGGTTAAAACGCCGGTCTATCACCGCTGTGGTCCTGGTTCGATTCCCGGTCCGGGACTATATGTGATTTGAGTTTGTAAGCTGGTTCTCTTCCTTGCTCCGAGGGTTTTGCTCCAGGTCCACTGGTTTTCCTCCCTCAGTCAAATACTAGCTGTGAGGAGTGTCGTGTAGTAAAATAATGAATGTTGAGGTAGTGAGTATGAGTGAATATATACTAAGATATCACATGCTATCCTCTCAAAATAAAAGACTTAATTCATTTATTTATTAATTGAATTTAATCTCAATACAGAGAATTGTAGTTGGTCCATCAGAAGGAAAGTCCAAAAGCTCTTCTACTTCAGACTCCAAGTCCAGCAGAGTTGTAGTTAACAAGAGTTCAAGTAGCGGTAAACCAACTAACCGTGTTGTTATTGGCTCCCTTCCYGACTTAATAACACCAAGCAGACTGAAAGAACTTCTTGCTGGAATTGGTCCTATACAGGTGAGTATTTTATCAAACATTTACAAGATAAAAAAACACATTTATTATAATACATGTGTTTCTTTCTAGCAACTGAAAATGTCCACTACAAAGCATAAGGCCTTGGTGACGTTTGAAAAGAATGAGCATGCTTTGGCCTGTCGCCGCAAATTCCACAGGTAATTTATTAAAGCTGATAACATTAGAATGCAATATGTTATTCATTATGCATAAATTTATACATGTATTTATTAATTTATTCATGTATGTATTAATTTATTCATGTATTGATTTATTCATGTCTTGATTTATTATATTATTCACAGAACTGTGGTTGATGACTCTCAAGTCACAGTGGACTTCCTCTAAGAGTTCTCACCATCGATAATGCCAGGTTTTCCATCTAGTACCTAGTATATGTATATATCTATTTTAATCATAAATTGATCATAATCTCATAGAACTACACGTAGATAGCTCTCTCAATGTTAGTTTTTATATTTTGTTTGCTTTGTGTGTGTGTTTTWGTATCATTGTGTTTGTACTTGTGTTGTYATCTTCCATAAAGGTAAGAGTCAAGTGACAGAGTGTAGATACCATAGAAAGAGATAGTAAAAACTGCTTAGCAGAGACCTTAAAACTCTAAAATAATAGATAAAATCAATTTTTTGTAATTAATGTTTTTTATACGTAGCATTCTATGCTCTTTAGTTCATAAATTATTATCAATAGTCATAGAATATAGAAAATATTCGATTTTTTATTTATTTTGTATGACGATTGTCCMTTCAGTGATCAAACAATACTTGTTCAATATCATTTTAATACAACACTAAAACATTAGCGATATCTGGCCATTTAGAATTTTGAACGATCCAGCAAAATGAAATTTCTGAAAAGTTATTTTAAGACTTATTGCTGAGATGAGATAAAACAGTTAAATGTTGTATCAGCCACTTCTTATGGGTATTTTCTGAATTAGATTCCATGCAGTTAATATATGGGACTGTTGCAAACTACTTATCCAATTTTGAGACTAAAGCATACTTGGTCTTCCAGTTTTCAATTTATTGTTCTATATTGAAGCTTTCACAGATTTTTGTTTAAATATAAAATCTGCTTTGCTTTCTAGCTTCTTAGGTCTTCTTCAGCAATGTAATATTTGTATATTTTGTGATATAGTTATCCATGAAATGTCTGTATTTCTGCCTTTCAAAAATTTTATAAAATAAAACAAAAAAATTACCAGTAAAATAACGCATTCATATGAGGGGAAAAAATCTACATAATTACATAATCTACATAATCTATATAATTTACTTTCATGGATAATTGTATGATAAGCAGAATATTAYATGYTCTCMTAGRGATATGGATTTATCCTATTGTGTTGAAAATTGCTATGCTCATTCTTGAGAGATCTTTTCAAGACTTGAAAGATAAAATCCATATCTCTGCTTACTCATATAATATTCTCTATATTTACCACCATGGAGGTGCATATAGAGCAAAACTGCCTGAGGTCTCGATGCATAGCACAATGTCTAAGATCAAGGACAGTTTATTACTCAGTGGACCTAYCTTAAGCTGGTAAATAAATCCTGAAAAACTGAACAATGTAACAAAACTATACATGTAGCTGGCACTTTCTTTCGARTAATACTTCCTTTTTCCCTGGTTCTGGTCAATAATTGCTTAGACTAAATCTTGTGAGTTTTAAAGCCGWTTGTCGTCTTTCTCATCAAGTATGTCTAAATGCCCTAGCCTATGCAAAGTGCGCCCTAAAACAGATCAATAATTTGAGGATTTATTGATTGACAAAATTTCTAAAAGAATTCTTTACACCTGATGCTGTAATTGCAAAAACATTGTCCAGAGATTTAGTGACTTAGGAATATATACATTAAAAGACAAAAGATGGCAAGTCAAAAGCTGTATTCTGTCTTTTTTGTATTTTGATTTATTCCTAATGTGCTATAAAGTTCTTCTTTCAAGGAAAATATTTTTGAAATGGGTTGTTAATACTCACATAATTGTATTTAAGCAAATTTAAACAAGAGATGCAAGGTTGAAAGTAACCCTAGCTTTATTGTTTTACCTGGTACTAAATACATTCAACGTGCATTTARAACAACCATTTGAAAATATGAACATTTCCTATAGCAAAAGTCACAGCTAATACACATGCACTTTTAACAAATATTGGCTGAAATCTCAATTATTCAAGTATTTCTACCATAGAAGTAGAAAAACAGTGAATTGCGGACAAAAAAACAAAAGGTTGGCGTCCAACAATCAGAGTTAGAATCAGTGAATGCAATAGAGACAGGCTATTTTGGTTCAGTGGCCATGCAATTATAGACAAAGCTCCTGGGAAATAACAGAAACATTGAGRTTATCAATTTTCCTAGAGCCTTGTCTGCAATATCTTTTTGTACATGATTACTAAACCAAAATATCTGAAATTGACTATTAATATGTATTAACGACTTTAACTGATATCATGCATCAGTATACAAAGTCTTCTACCATGATTTCAGTTTCTAAACATTCATTTGAMAAATKWACTGTAYCTAGCCTGACATTGAATTCCAGCTYTGATTCTGATTGYGTTGGGGGATGTTTGTTATTACACTGYCTGAGACCTCCAYACTCACAACGTTTTTACCAATTGTTTTTCTGTTATTTTTTAATCAAATTCCACTTAATAACAAAATTTAAATAAAAATAGTTTTTGAACCATAACAAACGAATTAAATTGAAATATCTGAAGTTAGTTCTGTGAAAAAGCAATTTTATTAAACCCAACAGAACTTTAAAATATTGTTCTTTGGATGAGGGTATTAGCATTACTAACCCAGCATTTATGCCAAGGCAAGTGCCCCTCTTGAGTTTGATGTAGCTATGGCCTTGAAAAGCTATTTTAAACTGATGATAATTATTGCAATATTAGTTTGGACTAAAAAACAGTACTCAAGTGATATTTTATTATTTGAGAATGCTACACTGCGTCTTATTTTTTTATGTCATTTACAATCCTTTGARACCTTATACATTCATGTTACTAGTTCCTCATTCCTAGAAGAAATGACCCTTTGTAGCATGTTGCAAAGTCATCATCTTTTTTGAAAAACACTCCTTGATYCCTGTTTGGCYTTTGGGTTGAAACAAACAGGATTGAAAATTAAATGTAACCTCTGGAATACGTTTSAAGAGACTTTGTTGATATAAGCATTTCTTTAAGGAATGGGGATTGTGATTTTACCCTTGAGTTATTTAATATGTATATTCAACATACAATAGTTTAGATAGATCAAYGTCAGTTTAGTAGTTAGGCATTAGAAGATATTTTCTGTATTTCCATTCTTTGTTTAGTYTCCTTTGCAGCCTAGGCTGTGAAGGAGACTATTCTTTGTTAGAAACGTGCAGGACTGTTGGGAGAACATGAGAAAAGTTTTAAATCAGAAGCTGAAAGCAATTTTTGAGAGTTCTCCCAACAATTCCAAGTTACTTGGCATGCATAACATTTAGTAGTAAGGACTGAAGGACATCGCTAATGGTTACAAAAGGCATAGCACATACCCTAGCATATTTAAYAAGCATTACCACAAATCAAGTATCTTWATCTAAACAAATGCCAGAATGCTTTTAAGAAAACCCATTACAAATTGTTCAAGTGCAAGAGTATTCAATCATCATGAATTGTATTTAAAAGACTGAGAGAAAACTTTCAGGAATTAAAAGGTTGAAGGTTTTCTTCCAAAAAAATCTGAAATTTGTTATTTTTGACACAAATTTTTTTGAAATTTTTTAAAATTTGAAATTTGAAATTTGTTATTTGAAATTTGAAATTTGTTATTTTTGACACAAATTTTATTTTGCATTTCTGGACTTTGTTTTGATAGGTCTTCTAGATTTCTGGTTGTTAGGTAACAGCTTCCCTGGGTATATAAAAATCTTAAAAAGTCGATATAATTTGCAAGCATTTTTGGATGTTATTTTCTTAAAATCATTAACTGAGCATACTAAACATCATTTTGTAGTAACTTTTAGATTTTTTAACTTGCACTATCAACTAAAGTTGACCCAGAAAACAAAACAGCTTTCCATTTATTGCTTTCTATATGAAAAAGTAGATAGAACTGTTCTACAAACAAAAAAATATGAAATTGTTTTGGCTCTTATGAGAATATTGCACTATTAAAGACCATGATATGAGCATGGATAATGATAGTGAGAACACATTTTAAGAAATAGCTCAGAATTATAGGACGTCAAGGTGTAGAATGACATGTCATGTAGCTCTTGCCATTATGGAAGACTTGTGTTGTGTTTATATTAGACGTGTACATGAATGATGTACTTATAAGTGTTTTATTGATTGTTATCATATGGTGCAAACCTCTAATAAGACAATTAGCTTATCAAGTAATGCAATGTGGTAAAACACATGGTACCAGTATTGTACTAGTGGCTCAATAGCAAACATTATAATCCAAGGAATACTGCACATGGATAAYTCTGTGGATGTGAAGAAAAGGTATTTTGGAAACATTGGAATATGTGTCTTAACTGGAATATAAAACTTCAGTGGAAATTGTAGAACATGGAATCACTGGATATTACAGACTAAGGATGACTGGAATAAATKTTGATTGTTATSRRACATTGGATTGSAKTWTGGAATATAGCTTTGCAAAACATTGGACATCATCAGTTGGATATTCAGTCAATGGAAACTATAACATGTTTTGATCTATCACTATCAACCTGGGCAATCGTTAACTTATGTTTCATACTTTGTCAGAACATCGCCATGTGCATGAACTTATCAACTGAAAAAAACAATGCTGAACAATCTTTCAGAAACTTATAATCGTTCATAGCTTTTTGAATCAAAAAAGTGACAAATTTTATAGTCCTTGTATAGTTAGGCTAGCTTATTAGTTCRTAGCTTTTTTGTTATGTTTGCTGTATCAATAAAACTATTCAATGTTATACCAGTGATGTTCAGCTCAGTACTTGTTTAGAATTTTTTTATGTTCATGACATTGGAAAAATGCATGACATGTCATGATATTTTTTGTAAGATGTTTTGACACTTCAAGGTGTAATGGTTTATTATCTTTTGAAGGTTGATAACTTTTGAATTATGTTGGGGTTGAGAACATTACACAATCATGATGTCAATTTCTCGGATTTTTATGGGACTGAAATGAATTATGGGACAGGAACCAGCTTGCTTGCTGCATGCATGATGCTGGCAAAATAATATACAAAATACTAATATAATATATTAATGTCTTATTTAAACCTAGGTAGATTTATGGGAGGGTAGGGAAGGGATGGTCGTGTTTAGTGTCATTGTGTAATATGATATAACTTTGATTTGAGTTTTATCAAATCCAGTCTTAACTTTGCTTGTAGATAGAGGGTTTTATGGGGCATGGTTTGGTAGGGTTAGGGAGGGCAGCCTTACAAAGAATTTCTTTAGGGAGTGATGGAAAATATACTTGTTTATAATTTCAATTTAGATTTTTAAATTATGCAATCACATTTGTACAAATGATTGACTAAAACCACATACTGTTTTATAGTCTTAATTTAATATTAATATAATATTTAGGAAATGTTAGTTACTTTAAACTGATTTGTGCATAGTTTGGATAAAAGGAGGGTTTTAAACTCCGAAAAACAGTTATGCAAGGTTTATACAGTTTTAGGTATTTCATCAATGGAGGAGAGATATTTATTTTCATTGTGGGAGTGGGTAATCAAATAATGTTGAGAAAACTCTGTCGGTATTTTGATAACACATTTTTACAAAATTGATTTTAATGGCATTTGATAGTATTGCCACTCTGTATATAGTTGTAAAAAGTAGAATATATCTTACATMAACCTAGCTTAATCCTAAATATTTATTCTATATTCAAAAGCAATCACAGCGACAATGTTCATAAACACAAAATCAGTAAGAATGATAAATGGCAATTACATTAAAAAACAAGATTAAAAGCATTCATAAAGTAATTTATGAATATTGTTCATGTATAGTTCTTCAAAAAGCCAACACTTTTAATTTGAAACTCAAAAACTAAAATTCTTGGAGAAATTGCCATAAAATAAGTTTTGAGATAGATGTGGCAAACTGACCATGTGCGAATCGCTATTGTCATCCCACATTGAATACACATAAAGTAAAATAGAAGTACTGATGCCTGTTTTACTGCAATCAGTTGACATCCTGCATTGATCAATGATCAGGTTTCAAACCTGAGACCTTTGCTAGCGTCATGGACCTTTATATCTGATAAAGGTCACCCTTATTAATGTTCTTTATATAAAGAATGCTAATAAGGGTGTGTTTTATCAGATATAAAGGTCCATGCATGTGACCAAATAGGCTCATTCTATTGGCCTAATAACTCAATTATGTATGTCTTGAGTTTTTTGAAAATATATTGTAAGATGTCTTTTTATGGTTTGTTTTGGAATTTATATAATTAAGAAAATGTTTGCATTTGTTAAACATTGTTTATTAGGATATTTTGAACTTTTTATAATTTGAGAATTAGTTATTTATTAGCTTTGTCCAAGTATATAGCATATGCTGTAAACATGTGTTGTCTTTTATAAAGATGTTATTACTAAGTATTTATATCAARTTGGTATTTTGAGAAAGTTTTTAAATTTCAACGAAAAGAATTAGATACCATACAATCATGAATTATTGTTAGTTAGAGGATGTCTGAATTAATAATTACCTGTATTTTAGTACCATGCACTCTAATCAAGTTTCAGAGACACTTGTCACTTGTCTTGTTTTTACAAAATTACTATTTTATGTAAAATTGCTACTGATGTCTCTGTGCACTGTCCTGAAGTCGCATTGTATGAGATAGGGAGCACTTGAGGAGTAAATATATATTGCTATCTCTTGTTTCTGAGGCTGCTTCTCTTGTTGTCTTTTTATCTCCTGTAATGTTTTTCGTCAGGAAGGAAGGACATAATCACATCCATTTTGTATATACATCACCAGAAAATGTTTAAAATAGTTGTTCACAAGCTGTATGCCAGTGCTTAAAGCATATAAGTGTAGCTCATGCACATCTTGCTACTTATTTAGATTATAATACACACACAACTAAGTCTAATTCTAAATTTATTTTTAAATTCGTAGACCCTATTTATTTTTGCATCTCAAAAATCAGAGCTAAGGCTATAGAAACCTTACAGCTTGTTGAAATGCCATTTAACATGGCGGGGGTGAAATTGAGTCCTTTATTTTAGATTTGCGGTACTTTAAAATCAAATTGGAGATCTTTTTATCATTTGCACCACCTTTCACACATTAGATGTCTTGAGAAAACTGTGTGTTCACATTAGGAAAGTTTATCTCAATGAATTTTAGTAGCATCTAGTAATTTACACAGTTTGCTTCTTTCTTAATGACAATTCGCCATTAAAAAATAATTGTAATTTTAGTATTCTTGAGATTCAACCCCAAGCTCATTATAGATGGTGGTTTATATTCTTTAGAATTTGTCTACAGTCTGAATAATGTTAGCCTGCATTGCAAGTGCCTTTTCTTTTGACTTCTGAAAACAGTAAGCCATACATTTGTCCGAGACATTTTAAATCTTGAGAAAATAATATTGAGAAAATATTATGAATCAGTATCATAATCTATTTTATAAAATTATCTAAAAACTATTTTAATTGTTAGAGAAGGATCTTGCAAGCTAGAGTTCATTTCTTATGATTTCAAGCTGTAGTCAAAGTCCAAAAGGATATTGTAGGGTACGGACACTGAAAGTGTGCGACAAAAATACTCCTAAATTGTTATGTTAATTGTGTTGTTTTTTTTTCGTTGAGCTAGCACTATTTGGTTAATTACATGTAAATAGTGCAGAGTGTTGCAAAGTGTTTTTACTCAACTAGTTGATACCTATAGGCTTGGGTTGATAAGAGCTTCCTGAAAGTCACTGTGACATGTGAAAGCAGGTTGCTTATAACTGATCCTMATGTGCACCWGAAAGARTGTTCTTACAGCAMAAATACCATTTTTGCAACTGGCTAAACAATAAAAAGAAGTTTCAGTWYATATGAGGTGATGTTGCTGCAWCATGTGACAGTGACTTTATGCATATTGTGTGCTGGAGACATTTGGTAATTGAAGARGGTTGTGAGCTCGATTGGGAATTATTTTGTTAGCTGGCATTAGTAAGTGCACATTATGCACTTTGCCGTTCTGTTTGTTTACTGTCATGCTGTGATAGTTCATGTATTGATGTATTGCRTTGTTTGTCTGTACTGTCATTGTGTTTTATGTCTGTTTTTTGTTCACTTTGTGTGCAAAAAGTGCAAAAATTGTACCATATTAAATAATTATTATGATTCCTCAGCCAATCTTTTGCTGATTGATGAAAAGTCTGTTATCATTTATAATAATAGTTATAGTTACAATTGAACACAATTATCCAATAGAAATGTGTTATATTGACTCAACATTTGTTTAATGCACGTAGCTAATTTATATTTTTATTATTTATCTATTTTTCCAAAAAAAAGTCGAAACAAAAATGAAGTCTGAATAGAAAAGGTACATTTAATCTCTAGTTATATAAGTTGTTTACATGGCTTTCAGTGAACGTCAACATAATAGTTTGCCTTTTTGCATCATTTTAATCAAGCAATTACCCCTAAAATAAGAAATATTTTTTCTGAGTTAGAGAGCCTATAAATAATATAGAATAACACTACAACTCTGAGTGGGAAGATTGTTATTTTCCCCTAGTACTGAGTCCACTACATTGGGAGCACTAGTGTCCCTAAAACAGTTCATTTGATTGTATTTTTCTAAACTTCTTAAATCTTGTTCTGTTCAAACTCAGAATTGTTCTAAGTGTATTGTCTTGTTTTAATGAGGTTTGGTTGTATTGTGAACTTTTGTATTATGTCATTTTGGCCAGTTTACTTCCAGTGAATCAATTTAAAAGATCCATTGGTTAATTGCAAATAAACAAAACATTTCTGTGCACGGTAAGGGGCCGTTATCAAGTGTTCCTACTATTGTGCAAAATATGAACAAGTTAAAATGCATTTATAATTTAAAATGAGGAATGATTTTGCAGGATAGTAGGTGGCTCTTGAGAAACTACCATCAACTGTCATAGAACAATTTTTGACCTCATAATTACTCAAAGAAAAGAATCCAGACAAAATGTTTTTCATCATTTTAATAATATTTTACTCAGTGCTGATAGATCTTTCATGAATTCATACTGTTATTGAATGAGAATATAATAAACATTCATACTAGTACTTCTTAGAATTCACTTCTGTCTATTTTCTAAGCTATGCTAAAATAACATCCAGTCACTTCACTCAGATAATAAATGATAGTGATATGAATTTTTTACAATAAAAAAATACTAAAATATTATAAATATTTATTTTTAAGTTAATTAAGTTAATACCCAATAAATAACTTAACTTTACAGTAAAAATTGAACTGTTTGTGTTTTATTTGTCAGTGTGTGAGCCTTGTTCTTTGTCATCTATTCTTGTTTGTGTCAGTTATCTCCTTCTCTACCTCTAACAACAAATTTTGTGTTTTCTTTGACTTTGACACATCCGCAAAGTGCACCAATACACCCATAATAAATGAATATTGTGCCAAACAGCACTTTTTTATGCGGTGAGTATTAATTTGACATWCCCTAGTTAACTAGGCAGAAACTTTATTGAGGACTCTACACTTCCCAAAATATCTTTTAATGATGTTACAGACTAGAAAGTTCTGGGAAGTTGTATAGTGCATAGGTCTTACTATAATTGTATATTTTCAAACGAAACAACCACATAATAAAAACAATACTGCGTCTAAGAATTATTATTATTATCACTTGTGGGTTTCAATTTGGTCGAAAACTGGTTTCATCATAGGGATCCAATCCAACTGAAAGCAGAGAAAATTACAGAATTCTTTGTTAGTCAACATTTTACACAATAACACATTTATTTTGTAAACTTTCATTTTTGGAAGAAATAGTTTACTTTTAAGAAAATATACTCACATTTTTGTTTTCTGTATCCGTCAAGAGGTGCCCCTCCACCTTTTTTACCCCAGTTACTGTTCATGGTTTCCACATGCTGAAGAGAGATTTCAATGCTTCATTAACATGTCTGATTAAATATAGTTTTTGTCTTGCCATATAAGCTGAGTTTCCCTTCGTCAGAATCCAGTCTTTCCTGACTTGCTATTCTATATCTTTCACATGTCCAAAATGCATTTTATTTGAATTACAATAAGTTTGCTTTGAATTCTTGCCACTTAAGAATAATTATAGTTATTCTCCAGAGCCTGCATTCTGCATTAAAAAATAAGTTGAGCCCAATGTTGTTTTTTTGCCCAATGTTGTTTTTTTTGGTGCAAACAAAGGAACAAGGTCTCTGGATTGAGATTGATAACTGTTTCTGTTTTTTCTTCTTATAAGCATTGCTGTATGCATTCTATTTTCCTAAATGGTGACTCAATCTAAGTCAACAGTGACTTATTGCTTACCCTCATGGAATCATGCTTTTCAGTTTCTTTCTCTTGGTATCGTTGTTTCTGTTTTGCATCAACAAGAACTTGCAGATCACGGTGGTAGTTGCTGCTAGTATCATTCTTTTGTCTGCGTATGTTCAGCTTTTGTTGAGTGACATCAGACGTGGTTTTATGTGATGCTATAATTTCCTTTGTTACAGGGTCAAACTTTGGCTGACCAACAACACCACTTCTGATCCATGATGATACATCGCCTCCACTCTAAAATGACAAATAGCTTTTGTTAAATGTACAGCTTTTTAAATTTGAACAAATGGTAATTTGAAAGACATACTGTCATGGCAACATTTGGGTTGTCATGGTAGCATTGTTAGAATTGTCATGGCAATTAGTGTTAACCTTTTTGAGATCTTCATTCTCTTCCTTGCGCTTGTATTCAGCTTGTTCAGCTTGATCCTCTAAAAGAGATAATGTCCAAAGAGTCAATTCAATGAAGGCTTATTTATAGCACATAACCCCTACAAATGGCCACTGAATACAACTGTGAACACTTACGTAAAGTTTTCAGATAGGCTTGTTTGGCTTGGATATCATCAAAAGACATTCTTGGTGATGGTTCCTTAAATAAAAAGGGATTAATTAAACAACTKTCATAAGTTTTAYGTTTTACTGCCATGACTCACCAATCGTTCCACCTGAGCTACTAAGCGMGTTTTGACTTTACCATCTGCATCCTTAATGGGAGCTCCTGCACCTGGCTTTTGAAAGGGATCATTCTCAATTCTCTCTTTAGGACTGAAATCCCTTGACAGTACCTCTGTAAATAAAGGTATATTTGACAGCTATAAGAAATGAGCTGTTGTGTAAAGAAAGTTTACTTACTGCACCGACTTATAACTTACGTCCATAACTATTCTTTGTTAATGTCTGTGGTTTCCTTGTTTTGAGTTTACCATCTTTGTCCTTAATGGGAGCACCAGCACCAGGTCTTCCAACAGGTATTCCAATTCCTTCCTGGAAAGTTTAAACAAATCAATGATTTTTCCTGGTTGCCGCTCGAAATTTGAAACTCCCACCCCTCCCTCCCTCCCCCCACAGTGTTGTCGACAGACTGACAGCAAACTACAACATTGAAAGGGGGAGAAGACATTTAGGCAGGAGATATACGAACAAACGAAGGTAGTTAAGACAAGCGTAGATGAACAACACAAACTCATGTGAAAGTCACAAGATATTTTATCCAAGATTGTAGATTTTTTCTGTAAGTGTAATTAATGCTTACTGAATCATCAATTGCAGGCCTTTTGGTCTTCATGATTTTACCAGCTCTGTCCCTTTCAACAGTGTTTTTGCCAAATGGCCAATGATTGCTGTCTGGATTTAACCATGCCTGTAAAATTTCCAGATGATAATATAAGACACTATTAATAATTAATAATAATTATTCAAACTATTTATATATTATGACATTTTTTATTTACTGTACTTACATAGTCATCTGGTTTACACTCTGAAAACAAACACATTATTGAATTAGAATTTGCTTAATTATAATAAATATAAAATTTTCAATAATAAAAGACCAACTTGGTGCTTCTAAAACTACAATTCTAAGGCTAATAATTTTATTATACACAACTGATAATGATAATTTAAATGTTGGGATATCAAACATCATAACTTACTCCCTGGATCACTGTATGCATGCTGGTGACGAGGTTCTACTCCTCTAAGTTCTTTGATGTCTGTGGATAGTGTTAATATCTGTTTTGCATTGACTTCACCTTGTTCATTTGTCAAAGGAGCACCACCACCAGGTTTTTTGAATGGATCATATTGATTCTATAACACGGATATATTGCTTGTTAATATGTATATGATGCATAGCTTAACACAAGAAAAAATCATTTTTTTAATTTATTTCTTACATGAGATATTTCTTGTTCTTTGCGTTTCTTCTCTTCCTGTTGTTTTCTTGTATGACTTTCGTTGATAAACTTCTCTGCAAAATACAAAATTACAGATTATTGTACATGAATATTAAGGATTTCATATATTGCACCATTATAGAAGAATAATGTGATTAAAGAATAATTATTTTCCCATTAAGAATTGAATGACAAAATGGACAAAAGCAGGACAGTCAATTCCCTTGCTTACCAAGTAAAGCTGCATACTCCATGTCTTTTTTATTATATCTCTACAATAACAAAAGAATTATTATATATAATATTATTTATTCTTTTTCTTTTTTCGTTTGTAGCTATTGTTCAATTAGATCTTACCAAGCCTTCTGCAATATTGCTRTTCTCGCCATATTTAGGGAATCTTAGTTCAGGATCAGCTCKTAATTTTGTCTGTTGMTTTCCAGAGACTGTTCGATTTGGTGCACCACCRCCACCTAGTCCCAAGGGASTATATTCCTGAATATACAATATTGATAAAAATTAGTCTTATTGTAAAATGGCACTATTTTGTTTGCATTCATACTACAGAGCTTATATCATTATGCATAAACAGCTTTGACTCTGGAATACAGTTGTTGAGTTTTTTGTCAAAATTTTTCTGTGGCAGCAATCCAGGTGTAGTTCTGAGAGAGACCATGAGACCATGTTGTGTGTTATCCATGCCTTTGCACAGTCATACAAAATCTTCTGTAAGATAACAGCATACTATTGTACTGACCTCTTCTTGTAACCCTTGAATGTTTTTAGTGCGCCGTGCTTCACGCTTATTTGGATCAGGCCCCTTTGAACAGAAATATATACCATTAGATTATGATTAGCAGGATAATCTTTCAACACTTTTCATATACAATTATTGATTTCTGAGCAGAATTTAAAATATATATTTATTTAATTTTTTTTTTTGTTATAAATATTTTTTTTAATAATTGTTGACTAAACCATAGTGATATAACTGCACTCACTGCAAGTGGAGCTCCATGACCAGGCTTCTGAAATGGATAATATGATTGTAGCATATCCAAATCCTGGGATAAAAAGAAAAATCAGTAAAAATGACTTAATACAGCCAAATCTGCTGTAAGAGATTGTTGCTGTTACCTTCTTCTTTTCTTGTTGTCGTTCTAGCATTTGTTTTTCCTTCTCACGTTTATGCAGATATAGGAATTCATCTAGTAAAGAGAATTATTTTCATGATAATTACTAAAGAATTTTAATAATTTGCCGTTAAATATCATCCTTTAGTAAAGTCTAAATTTAATGTCCTTTGTTCTACTTTTCTTGTACRTGACTTTGTGTAAATACCACATAATTTGCCTAATAGTYAYGTTTTACCTTGATCCTTTGCCAGTTTCTGATGGCGTGTCACATGGTAATCGTCATTCCTATGCAAAGCAAAAGCAAGATGSATTTTAGATTTTTTGATTTGAAAACAATACTTGTGAATTATTTTGTTAATCTTTTTCTTGCCAAGAACACAATAAGCTTAATAATCAAAGCATTCAAAAATATTATTTTACTTATTTCATCATTCAAATAAAGTTAATTCCCCCCAAATACATGTACATGTACAAATAAATTGAAGTGGTTCTCTTACACTCTTGCTTCAATCCACAAAGCATTGTTYGGTTTTGTTCCTGCCTTCTGYCTTCCAACATTTGTTGCAGCTTCAGTTCCATACAAAAATCCATCTGGTTTGTCAGTTTTGGCTTGAACCCTTTTCTTTTCCTCTGACTGTCTTAAAAGCTCATCTGTACCATAAATCATCTTGTTGTTCCTAGAGCCACCTGGAATCTGAAGATTTAATGTATATAAAGACATATTATATTGTATAGATCAAACAATAATACAGCCAATGTCAGCTGTCATTGGTATTRCAGCTGGCATKAYTACATTTGTGTTCTCACCACGCCTCTAACAAAATGCTGCCTTTTGTGATGGTCCTGGCTAAATGGATCATAGTTYGTTGMTGTTGTACTGGTTTCATATCCACTGTTATGGAAATTCTGAAGGTGATGAGCTCTTTGGTAAGACGAYTGCTGTGTGTTCTGCCCCAGGGGATCTGTTCTCCTGTCTCTTGGCAGAGCTGTAGATGTTTTATCACAGACATAATAAATAGCCGTAATAATTGGATAATACTTTTGGTACATTATGACAAACTCTCGGCAGGGGTTGAAGCTCATTAATGTTTTAATTGTCTTTGTTTGTATTTGTGTAGTTTTATTCTTGTTACAACAAAGTTTTTCATTGGATGGAAATGAAAATAGTAGTGGGTTAATAGGATGAGTGGTCTTTTGATTCGCATTCTCAAATTGAGTAAAATAACATCCAATTTGTATATAATTTATTATTCTTTGTGCCCGCAAATGATCACAATCAGCTGTTATTCCCTGCTTTAGGTTTAAATGCAATAAAATTATTTGTGTTTGTTTCCATAGCAACACTAAATGCAGTCCATAATGACTAGACCCAAATTCCTGTCAATCAATTAGTAATGTATTTACGAGAACCATTCCCCTCCTAGCAGAGTCTCTCGCATTGTAGTTCCTGTGGTTGAAGTAAACAGAGACTCCTGCTAGCAGGGAAAGAGAACCAGTTTTCTGCACTCAAAAAGGTGACAGTGAAGAT